CCCTCTTTTCTTTTTTTTTTCTTAAGTCACCAAGTGCTTTCTTCAAGGTTATCATAAGCCCGGGAGGAGACTTATGAACTTGGAGTGTGTCAGCTTTTGATTGCTTCCTTAGCTTCTGAGCCAGGCATTCCCCTTAAAACCATGACTGTCCAGTTAAGTTGTGAAGGAAAACAGACCCTTTGAAGTGTCCTTAAAAAAAATAATTACTAACTAAAGCATCTCACAGACTGCTTACACCTTTTCTCCTAAGTTAAGAACTACGAAATATGTAATAAAATAAAAAAAGCATTACAGAGCAGTACAATTTCTCCCCTATTTTCTCCATTTCTCTCGGTATATAGGAAGATGGAGTAGCCTCACAGATTAGGTCTCTAAACATGTTCTCACTATTTAATCAAAATTAACCAAACTTTTTTTAACCTGAACTTAATCCAAAATAGGTAAATATTAAAGACAAGTATGTCACCAGAGATATTTCATCAAGTCAGTATTTTAAGAGACAATTAAAATGTGTCTTTTAAGGAAGTTCAGTAATAAAATCTTTTAAAACTAAACTTCAATACTGTGTAGGACAGTAACTGCTCTGTATACAATGACTAGAAGTCATGATGGGCTTTTAAAAATACTGCATCTCTAATATTTTAAATGCTCCCAAACTCAAAACAGATTCTTGCAAAATAAGACTTACCTTAATTTATAACATATGTAGAATACAGTATGTTAAACTAAGCTCTTGAACTGAAAAGTTTATAATTTCTGATATTTTATTCTCCAGTCATAATAGGAAATAATCAGAGAGATAAAGTATCACTTAATATATAGACTGTTTTCAAGAAGTATTTCAATAGGGAAATTCCATAATTTCTAAATTAAATACAAAAAACTCCTAGACCGGCTGGGCGTGGCTCAGCAGTTGAGCATCAACCTAGGATCCAGGAGATCACGGTTTGATTCCCCGTCGGGGCACATGCCCGAGTTGTGGGCTTGATCCCCAGTTGGGGGTGTGCAGGAGGCAGCTGATCAAGGATGACTCTCATCATTGATGTTTCTCTCTCTCTGTCTCCCTTCCTCTCTCTGAAATCAATAAAGATATAGAAAAACAAAACAAAACAAAAAAACTCCTAAGTTAAACTATATATTAAGCAAAGTATCGAGGAAAAGTACCTTGGGCAAAAACTGGTACTTGTTAAATTGTTAAAATGTTTAAATTTTAATCATAAATTTATAGTCATTTTCTTAAGAGATCTGATAATATACCTGCTTGAGATGCCTGTTCCAAATTTCTTATTTAAGTTTCTCATCGATTTTATGATGGCTTATCTGAATTGGTTACTAAATTTCCTCCAAAGTGGTTTAGTCTTGACATCAAAACACAGAATGTTGTACAGAGTTGACATATACAGGGTGGGGCAAAAGTCGGTTTACAGTTGTGAGTATGCCAAACACAGAGTTTATTCTTGTATTATTATTTATTAATTATTGTATTATTTTCCATACAAACAACTGTACATCTACTTTTGCCCCACCCTCTATACAAATAGATGTTAATTTACATACATACATACATACATATATATATATATATATATATATATATATATATACTTTCTTTCATTTATTTCATATTTCAAAATTTCTCTAACTACTTCACAACCAAAAGTCAGGACTTGGAAGATGGTTTTGAGGAAGTTTAAACAATTTCAAGTTACATCGGGCAGAGGTCTTTTGCACCTTTGTAGTTTCTTATAGTTATGTTGTTTCCCGGCTCACTTGTCTTGAAGTCTTCACTGTAACTTGGTCCTCTGCCTGTCTCTTTCTGGGGGGAACTTGAGGAGAATCCTCTCAATCTTGTCTTATTTACGGTCAAATTAAGAATCACTGGTGATTTAAAGGTATGTGAGACAAGACATCCCTCCTCCCATCCAAGTTCTGTCCTTTCTTCTTATGGTGGAATGATGGACTGATAACATTTAAGAAACGATTTACAGATTTGCCATCTCTATTGATGGCGCAGGGTCAGCTAAATGGTCATCAGTCCTGTGGGAGAGTGTACTTCAGATGTTATTA